ACCTCCTCAGAGCCCCCTGGCTGACACAGCCTCACCCACCGCACCACATGGGACACTGTCCAGCTGGGATGCTCATGAGCTTTGGCCAAGTCGGGGAGGTGGCCTGGGCCCCACCCTCAGAGACTGCTTTTCTCTGCAGAAATAACAGCTCCCTGCATTTGAACAGAGTCTTTTCCTTCCTCAAATGCCACTTAATACTTCGCCAGCATCCCCCTTTGTCCTCAAGCATCTCACCAACTGGGGAAGAGGACAGGCGCCCCACCTCCACCTCTTTTCTGGAAACTGAGCCCAGAGGTACAAGGCCTCAGGGTCCCACAGGGAGCCCGGCAGACTGGGCCAGGCTGGTGGCATGGGGTCCGGAGAGTCTGAAGCTGGGGTGTCAGCCATCCTTCTCTGGCTTGGCTACTGACCCAGAGTAGACTGGCAAGGGCGACGTGTAGAGCCTGGGGTCACGCTCCACCAGCCTCATGGTGTCTGGGACATTTGCCCTTCCCAGGGCCGGCGGTGTGGCCATAGGAGAGCTCTCGGCATGTCCTACTGGAGGCAGAGCTGTCCCAGTACTGCCTTCTCCCTCTACTGGTCTGTCACCTACTGGAAGCCACCCTCCCCCCACTGTCCTCGGTGCCCAAGAGTCAAATAAGCAGCCACTGGCTAGCCATGTGACGTCATTGCTCCAGGACTCAGTCTTGTAGTCTCAACAGTGGGACCAGGAGCCACCGCCCGCCTGTAGCCACACAGCCCCATTCAGGGAACTTGCCAGAAAGGGATTGGCTGCCCCCGCTGGGTCTGTGCTAGCTGGCTATGGGACCCCTGACCACCCATGACCAGGCTCATAAGTGCCACTGAGGCCAAACCTCTCCCACAGGAAAGGATTTGTGGGCACAAAGCTTTCTGGTCCTGGGTTGGGGTCCGATTCTGGGTGTGCGGTGCGGGTGGGGCTGGCCCATGGTCTGGTGGGTCTGAGCAGAACTGTCAAGAGGAGGGTGAGGCTGAGCCCTGAGGGGAGCGAGGGAGAGGGAGGGCCAGGGTGGCTTTGTCTGACCCCAACAGAGGAGTAAGGGGCGACTGGCAGGCCACCCTCCCACCTGGGCCTGCAAGCTGGGGGAGTGAGGGAGGTATAGCTGCAGGCCTGCTCACTTCCCCTCAGCCCGCATCCAAACTGCCGGAAGCCCCCTGCGCCTCTAACTCCTCCCTGCTGTCAGCCCGATGGTCTCCCAGCCTCTGCCCCAGGTCTAGACCCTCCCAATCCATGCAGACGTACGCATAGCCCGTCCTTGCTCCTGCCCTTGGAATATTCCTCACTCCGATTCGCCTCCTGGTCTGGACCCTGCCAGCCCCCCTCCTCACCTCCTTCTCAGCTCTTTGAACCTGATCCTGCCTTAGGGCCCTAGTCTTGCTGGAACCTCTCTCCTTCCCACAGCCCCGGGGCATCAGTGTTCCTTGTCTCCGAGTCAGTGCTTCTTGTGCAGCCTTTCCTGCCTCCCCAGCCAGGTCCTACCCTAGCCCATCAGCCCCGCCCCTTCACCTGCTTTGCCACGCTCTCATGTGCGTGGCCGTGTGTGGCCACTATCCGTCTCACCTGCTAGGAGGTGGCGTGCTTCCTGGGCCACATGCTGTCCTGCTGCCAACTCCTCCCTCTCCCTTCTGATCTCATTAGGGGACCCTGGCTGGGATGCCACACCATCCTGATCAGCACCACGCCTGGCTACATGGGACCACAGACAAACCATATGCCCCTTGGGCTTTGGTCTCCTCTGCAGTATGAAGACAACATCAGGTGCTGTGTGCAAACCTCAGGCCCTTACTCAAATGTAGCAGTTTCCTGCAGCTGCAACGAAGTACCACAAGTGGGGGAGGAGGGCTTAAAGCAACAGACATTGGTTATCTCACAGCCTGGAAGCTGGAGTCTGAGGTCAAGGTGTCAGCAGCGCCGTGCTCCCAGAGGAGGCTCCTTCCCGCCTTCCCAGCTCCAGGTGGCTCCAGGCATTCCTTGGCCGGTGGCTGCATACCTGTCTCTGCTCTGTCTTCATGTGACCTTCCCCTCTGTGTGTTTCTGTGTCCTCTCTTCTTATAAGGACACCAGTTGCCATACTTGGGACCCACCCTAAACCAGACCTCATCTTAAACTCCTCATCCTAACTCATTCCTGACCTGCCCTTAATGTCTAGACCTCATCTTAACAGCTAAGACCTCATCTTAACTGGTTCCACCTGCAAAGACCGTGTTCCCAAATAAGGTCATGTTCACGGGCGTGGGAGGCTGGGATCTAGCTATATTTAGGGGAACATAAGTCAGCCAGTGCAGGGGTCATCACCATTGCCATCATGACGGCTGGTTTGGGGCTTGGTCCTGTGGCCACAGCAGAGCAAGTGGGAGGGCTGGGCACTGCTCAGCATGTAGCCAGGCACACGTATGTGCTTGCACAAGTGCACCAATGCCCACAGAGGCAGGCCAGGGCAGGTTGGGGTCCTCTTGCAGCCCTGGCTCCTGCAACCCAGCTGTATTTGGTGCCTTCTACAAACCTCAAGGACTAGCGCTTTGTCCTGTTTGCACTCATTCCCAGGAAACCCCTATTTAGAGGACTCAGAGCTGGGAAGGGACCCTGGTGGCCCCTCAGAGACAAGCCTCACATCCAGAAACCCCTCCAACCACCTACTCTGTTCACCCTGCTCCTCCAGTTAAAGGAGCTCAGCCTTCTGCTTTGGGGGCTGGGCATTACAGGGCTGGAGACATGGGGTTCCTGCCCCAGCCTCAGGCCTAGCAGAGGCAGGAAGCCCGGGCTGCCCACGGCAATACCTCAGCTGAGGGCCTGGCAGGACCACAGAAGGTCCTGGCATGGGGCAGCACCAGGACAAGTCAGGGAGGGTTGCCTGTGGCAAGTCCCTTCCCAGCGCTCAAAGGCATCTTTTCCCTCTGGGAGCCCTGTCCCACCTCACCTACCTCCTTGAGCAAGCCGCCACACCTCATCCAGAACATGGACATAATAACGGCCCACCACCCTACCCACAACCTGATGGCAGCCAGGACCACCAATCCACACACAATCCCAATACCTGGAACTCCAGGTGCCAGGTGTCCTCTTTGTTATCCTAGATATTAGTAGCAAAACCTCAGCTGACCCAAATGAAGTGGGTTACTTGGGGTCTTCATGTGTCCTCCCTGATGGGACCAGCTGGAAGCCCTGCTACAGAGGGATGGATGCACAGGGAGGGAGAAACCAGGAATGCTTCATGGAATCTGGAAGGTGCACCATGTGACCTCATGGAAAAACTGAGGCCTTCTCAATCCAGAGCCCTCCCAGACCCAAGGGAGGCCGTGAGGATTAATTTAGATAATAGATGTGGAACACCTGGCCTGATATGCAGTAGACCAACAACACTTGTGAGTCTCCTCTCCCTAAACCCTTGGGTTGGGGGTTGTGCTTCCTCGCCTCTCCAATGCTCAGCAAGATTTGAGTAGGGCAGCCGGGAATGATCAGCCAGTACTGCAGAACTGACCGAGGGTGGCATCTGCCCTGCTCCTTGAGATCCCTCATGCTGGGAAGCTGGCCTGTCCGGAGTTTACATAGAGAAAAACTGGGGGTAGCAGCCAGCACCAGCACCGGTGCCAGCCAGGCAGAGCCAGCTTGGAATAAATTCTCCAGCCCCAGTCAAGCCTTCAGATGATGCAGCCCCCATTGACATCTAACTGCAGCCTCACAAGAGACCCTGGGCCAGAGCCCTTCAGCTAAACCCCGTCTGAATTCCTGACCCACAGAAACTGTGAGATAATAAATGCTTATTGTTGGTTTTAGCCACTAAGTTTCGAGCTAATTTGTGACGCAGCCTTAGTAGCTCATACACTTTTTTTTTTTTTTTGAGTTGGAGTCTCACTCTGTCACCCAGACTGGAGTGCAGTGGCCGCTCCCGGCTACCACAGCCTCGACCTGCTGGGCTCCGGCGATCCTTCCACCTCAGCCTTCCAAGTAGCTGGAACTACAGGCGCAAGCTATCACACCTGGCTAATTTTTTATTTATTGTCTCTACAATAAGGTCTCGCCAAGTTGCCCAGGGGGTTCTCAAACCCTCGGGCTCAGGCAATCCACTCACCTCAGCCTCCCAAGGTGCGGGATTACAGGCTGAGCCACCGAGCCCGGCTGCTCATACACTTTCTTAATGTGACTCAGAGGCTACACACTGACACTCAAAGGTCCTCCCGAGTTCTTTCCCAGACCTCCCAGCTCCAGCCCAGGGTCTAGTGCCCTAGAGAAACCCACACTCCCCAGGTCCAGTCACATGCCTCAGCACCTACTCCTGCCTGCCTACAAAAGTTGGTAAAGCTTCCTGCACTCACTCTTCCTACTGGTGCCTCATTCCCCTCCTCTGGGCTCCCAGTACATGTCTCCCACACAGCCCAGCATGCTCTGGGCACAGACTGATTCAGGGAAGTTGCCAGTCATGGCCTTCTGGAGGTCAGTGAATAAGAAAATGGAGGCTTTAGGTTGGCTGGCACTCATGGCTCTGAGTCACAGTAATACGGGACATTCCTCTGCCATGTTAACCACTGGGTCTTCAGGGCCCAGCCAGTGCCTGGCACAGAGAAGGCACTCAACAAACACAAGAAGGAAGGAAGGAAGGAAGGAAGGAAGGAAGGAAGGAAGGAAGGAAGGAAGGAAGGAAGGAAGGAAATATAAATTCAAGGAAGGAATGGATAAATGAAAGTGAGGAAGAATGGATAAACAACGGCTGTGTGGCTGGATGGATGGATGGATGGGGGTGGGTGGATGGATGGCTGGATATAAGGATGGAGAGATGAATGGTGGACAGATGGATTAATGGGTGGGTGGATGGATTAATGGGTGGGTGGATGGATGGATAACAGATCAATAGATAGTGAATGGGTGGATGGATGGATGATGGATGATGGATGGATGGATGGCTGGATGGAGGGATGGGGGGATGGATGGTTGTAGGGATGGATTACTGGATGGGTGAACAGTGTGAGGCAGGTGGGGCACTCACCACAAGTGGCGTCACTTCCGGACAGTGGTGGCAATGATGAGGATGACGACCACCAGGGCAGTGACTCCAGCTGACAGGAAGTAGCACTTGATCTTGCGTCTCTGGAGCTGGGGGAAAGAGGGAAGTTGTTGCCATATCCTGGCCTTCTAGTCTCCTGTCCTTAGGGGCGTTTGGTTTGCACCTTCTTTGGGCTGTGGCATGCTGGTGACTGGGATCACCCTGGGGCAGGGTCCAGGCAAAACGTGTCTCTGGAAAGGAACTCTGCCCTGAGGTGGCATGCATGTACATGCAGGATCTGCTCTGGGCAGGTCCTGGAGCCAGGTCCAAAGGGAGGAATGTAGGAACCTGGGGATCTGCCTAAGCTGCAGAGTCAGCCAGGCCTGGGTGTGATTCCCGATCTGCCTCACTGGAGCTGGGGGAATCTCAGCCATGTTCCTTCTTGGCATCCTGATTCTTTTGTAAGCATAGGATGATGCCATGGACTCCATGAGGACATTTGAAAGCCCTAAAATGAATATGATGCATGAGAAGTAGAGAGCCTGAAAGCAGATATCAGACACATAGTTCTCACCAAATATTGTTTTTACTCTTGTATGTCCTTGTGGTTATTATTAATTTAACAAGTTCTGGGCCCACCACCAAAGGTCTCATGGAGGTGAAAGATAGACAGATTTGTGCTGGGGGGTAATTAGCAAGGGGCCAGGGAGGCTTTATGAAGAAGGTGATGCTTCATCCAGGCCCTGGGTGGGGAGTAGGAACTCCCCAGGCAGGCCAGGAGGTAAGAGGCAAGGGACCCAGGAAGAACCCAGAGAAAATTTGGAGCCTAAATAATATGGTAAGTCACCACATGCCCAGAACAGAGAACAGGGATCAGGGAAGGGGGAGACAGGATGAGATGGGCCATGCCTGCAGATCATAGAGGGGTTTAGATGGCACCCCTGGCACCCCTGAGATGGTAGGGAAGACAGTATGAAGTACAGACAAGGGGGCTGACATATTCAACAGTGTGCTTGTGGAGAGGCCACTTAGAAAGCCAAATGGGATGCTGAAGGGTAGAAAAGGGAACCCAAGACAGGAAGACCAGGCAGGAGGAAGACTCATAGTGTCCATGGAAGGGCAGGGACCTAGAGCAGGACAGAGAAGGAAGGATAAGAAGTGACAGAGTCAAGATGAGAAGATGGAATCCTCAGAACCTGGTAGTGTTTCAATATGCAAGGAAATTGAAGTAAAGAAGTAAAGGATGAGTCCCCTACATTGCCCATTTGTGTCATTAGATGGATGTGGGGATGTTCATCCATCCATCCATTCGTCCATCTGACCATCCTTCCATCCACTCATCCACACATCCACCCATCCTTCCACCCACCCATCCATCCATCCATCCATCCACCCATTCATCCATCCATCCACCCACTCACCCATTCGCCCATTCATCTATCCATCCATCTACCCACCCACCTATTCACCTATCCATCTATCTACTCACCTGTCCATCCATCCATCCATCCATCCATCCATCCATCCATCCATCCATCCATCCATCCATCCAACCACCCAACCACCCACCCTCCCAGCCACTTTCCCATCCACACACCTACCCAGCTATCCACCCATTCTTCTGTCCATCTACTTTCCCAAGATGACTATAGAGGTGAGGATGGGAGAGGAGCACAACAACTTAGCTGTGGGGAAAAGAAGAAATTGGTAGGAATAGGAGAGTCAGTGGAAGGTACCTGGAGAAGATGGAACTGAGCTTGGGTTTTGGGGGAGTTGGTGTCCACAGTGAGTTTTGGGGTGAGGATCCAGGTCCTGCTCTGGCGTGGTATCTGGGCTCTGCTGGGCATTGGACAGATAATTTCCCCAGTTCAACTCCCTCAAGCTGCCTTGGTGTCATTGCACCTTGGGGAGGACCCACATCCTAACCTGAAAATCAGCTATTGTCGAAACAGCTGCACCTCCCAGCACTGGGAAATGTATTGCTACCTTGTGTTCTAGGCCAGGAAAGGTAAAGTAATATGCCCAGGTCTTCACAGACATTGTGTGGCAGATCTGAGGTTTCGGTCTCTGCCTCCATATCACTGTCATAAAGTCTTGCTGCTGTCTAGACATACCAGAGTGTTGAGGGTGAGGGCCGGGAAGAGGCCGGCAGGCCAAGAGTGAACCAGACACAGCCCTCAGCTCACAACTGGGGGTGGGGAGGAGAGTCAGAAACCCATGGCCCCCTAGGCAGGGGTTCCACGTCAGTGCACAGGACGAGCCGCTCTGAGCTAAGGACAACCTCAGGATCTATGACAGTGCCCGTGAGTGCTGGGATCTGCAGGCCGAGTGTCTCTGGGGTCCACTGCACCACCCTCACCAGCATCATCCCAATCAGTGAGCATCATGCCACCCTCACCCTGGCACAAGAGGTGGGTTCCAAAAACACCCCTGCTCTTCAGGAGAGGAGACAGCTCAAGAGGTGAAGTGGCCTGCCCCAAACCACCAGTCCAAGACCTGCAGAGCCAGCATTGGAACCAGGACCTAGCAACAGGCCTGCTGCTAATCACCCCACGCGCTGCTCCCAGAAGGGCCAAGACATCTGGAGTTACAAGTGCCTGAGGGTTTCACAGCCCTCCCACACGCCCGGGTCTCCTAAACTGAGATGGAGCCCGGAGAATCATGCCCAGGGTCTCCTGAGTGCCCGAGGAGGGAGGGGAATGTGAGGAAAACAGGAGCTGGGGGCAGGTGGGTCTGGCTTCCAGGCCCACAATCCTCACATTATTGCCTGACCATGGCCTGGAGCCTGGTGTTGGCCTCTTGACCTCTCACACAGGGCCATGGTGAGTCCTGGAGGAACTGGAGAAGGATTCAGTGGTCACTGCCAGAGCTGCTGCCACAGGCTTCCAGTTGCCCACCCAGTTCCAAATCCCAGGCACTGATGGGGCCCAGACTCACTTCCCTGTTGGCTGCACGCTGTGCCCACATCTTTCTTGGGCTGGTCAGGCCCCTCTGTGTCTACCCTCCATCCCCCACCCCACCAGGTTCAACAGAGTGGAGATGGCCCACAGGAAGAGATGGAGGGGAAGGCCTGGGCAGGGGTGGAGAATGGAGAATGTGCCCAAGAGGAGCCCAAGAAGTACCTGAAGATGTGGGGGAAGGAAAGGTGCAGGACCTCCTGGGACCCTCTGTAGCCCCAGCCAGCCTCTGTCAAGCCCAGCCCTCTACAACTTCCTCTCTACCCGACTGCCAAACCACCACTGGGCCTCTGGACACTGACTTCAAGGGAAGGGGGCGGGCACAGATGACAGGCTGGGCCCAGGGCCACCAGATGTTTGGGCTGGGACATATGGTGAAGGCAGAGGCAGGCCTTTGATGAGGACTCAGCAGACCCAGCTGTGTCCAGCTCCCCTCCCTTCCCCCACCTCTGTGCCAGCTGCTGGGGCCCTGCAGCCTCCCTGCAGGGAAGGAGCTGCCTGCAGGAGAAACTGAGCTCCTGCTGGAGGCCTTGACCTGGGATCACCTCAGCCCCAAAGTGCTCCTCTTCCACCAGGAGAGACAGTCACCCTGATGGGGCTGACCTTTCCAGTTCCCCAATAAAAATGTATTGACCACATCCCTGACCTTCTGAGTAGAGCACAGAGGGAACTTCCTTAAGGGGGTGAGATGGATTTTCCTGTTAAATATCACCCTTCCTGGGGACAGGTGGGGAAAAGCCACAGGAGGTGCTGAGTGCAAGTGCAGCTCACTTTCCAGGCCATTTTTACACGGGGAGGGGCCTCAGGACCCAGGTGGAGGTGGCTGGACTGGAAGATAGTGGAGGCAAGAAGCCCACCCTGAGCCCCTGCTCTCTGTGCTGGGAAATTCAGGCTCATTCATGCCAAGCTCTCAAGACCACTGGGTGGGCACGTTTCTGCCCTGTCGTAGCAGTCAGAGTATGAGTGCCAGGACACTGACCTGGAAGAAATGGTATCCCCCCACTCACGGATTTATTTGTTGGAGTCCTAACCCCCCGCAACCCCCAGGACCTCAGAGTGTGACCTTATTTGGAGACAGAGTCTTTCCAGAGGTAATCCAGTTGAATGAGGTCATTAGGATGGCCCTAATCCAGAATGACTGGTGTCCTTGCAAATAGGAAATGTGGGCATAGGGACAGACAGGCACACAGGGAAGATGGCCGTCTCACACAAGGAGAGAGGCCTCAGAAGGGACCACTGAGAATCTCGGACCTGCAGCCTCCAGAGCTATGAGACAGTAAGCAGGTGTACTCTCAGCTGCCCAGTCTGTGATATTTGTGATGGTAAGCCAGGTTGACTCACACTCGGGCCCACTGATCTTGGAGATGTGGCAGAGCCACCAGGTGCCAGGGCCTCCCTACAAAGCTGGATGACTGTGGGGATTCTCGGGTCTCATCTAGTCTGATGGGCAGCGACTCCCCAGCTCTGGGCAGCCCTCTTGAGAGCAGAGCCACCCCATCCCTGTCTCCACACTGTTCATCCTGGCGCCCTCGCTGCCCGAGAACCATGAGCAGGCCCCTGTCCTTGCCCCCCAGGAGCCAGACACAGGATGGCGGGGGGGGGAGGGGGCAATGGCAGAACAGTGGGAGGCACTGGTCAGTCAGCACTGAGACTTCTCATGCTAGAGGGAGACAGCACGACCAAGGCCTTCAGGACCAGGGTACAGAGTTGTCCAGGACCACAGAAGCCTTTGGAGGCAGCAATCCCCTGTCCTGGCAGGTCTGGGGAGCAGGGGGACCGTCCAGAATCCCCCCAGCTCTTTACTCAGGTCCTCTTTCCTATGAGGTCCCGGGGACCGCACTCCATGCAGGGGCTCCCGAGACAGCCCTGTAGCCTCAGTCCAACTGTGTCAGGATGCGTGCCTGGTGAGCAGCTGACCGTGACCACAGCAGCAGCCCTGCAAGAGGCCTGATCGTGCCCATTTCAGAGATACAAACACTGACTGATGCCCAAAGTGCAGCTCGTCCACAGCTCCTCAGAGTGGGCTCGAGGCAGGGCAGAAAGAGATGGGACTAGATGCTATAAGGCAAGGCCAGGGCAAAGTGCAGGCTGGGTCTGGGGTCACCCTTGGGTCTCTGACCCAGCAGGTGGCCTGGGGAATTTCTGGGAAAGTG